TGCCCATTTTTTGACAATGAAAATTATTGTGATGTCGCACGTTTTTGGTGGTGTAATTTAATTAAAACGATGTTCGCCAGCGACCCGCATCAGTGTGCTGGTTGGGGCGGGGCAGCGACCACCGCCAAGGCACGCTTTTCATGAGGGTTTTCCCGGAATTTTTCGGAACAGGTGACAAATGTGCGACACATTTTCTGTTTTCGTATTCGAATATGTGTATTAGCTAAAGGCCTGGCTGTCTGTGGGCCGAGACAGTGAGCAATCACAGCTGCTAAAAGGATGCCACTAAAAGTCAAACAAACCTCTTGACTTTTGATGATATTTGCACGGCCCAACAGGGGCAGGGGCAGGGGCAGGGGCTGAGGCAGGCGGTTAGAGCTGAGCCGGAGCGGAAGTGCAAAGGCAACAACAACAAACACAGCTGTTGTGGGTTTGCTCAGACTTTGGGAAATGGTCTGCGAGTTGCATTTGGATATTATTTTTATTTTATTTTTGCTTTCGTTATTTTCTGTTTTAAGTGAAAGAAGCGACAGCATATATGGAGAAGGCTGAGGAAAAACTTGTGCGGCTTCTGTTGAGCCTGTGAACCTGTTTGCCCGACTGAAACCATGAATGAACAGCCAAAGACAACAACAACAACAACAACAGAAACGACGACAACGTTCTCTTGGACAGCATTGTCACTGTCAATATATAGAAATGCACTCAAGGTAACTTCCTACTTGCCTCAGATCGTATTTCAATATAACCTCTTTTTACTTTTTTACTTGCAGCTTAATGCCCCTCCCCCACGACCGCACACACACACACACACACATAGACACACACATACAGACACCTCGTGCCCCCATAGTGCTACCCGTCGGTCAACAAAATGGCCACCATATGGAACAGTCGACGGAATAAAGCAAACGCTTGTGGGAATTTTCAATATTGATTGATTGACCACCCGAGAGCAGTCGGCAGTTGGCAATGTTCGTGGGTCATGGACTCAGCTAAAGATATATAGAAAAAAAGGCCAGGAATAAAACGAAATGGAAGTCAACTAAGCGATGCAAAAGATAGATAAAGAATTATCTACCACATGGCATGTTCTTTGGGAATCAATTCTATTTCTATCAAAAGATATCTTTTTCTGCTAGTCACAATATCTTAAATAAGCGCAAGTTGATTTTCCCGTCCTTATTGTTCCTCTAAAAGTTTTGCGATAAAGCAAAACGATATTGGTCAGATTTTGCTTATCGAGAGGCTGGACAGACGGACATGGTTATATGAGCTCAGCTGTTGATCTAGAATCTATATATACTTCATGTAGTCAGTAATAATATCCTCTAGAGCCGGACAAGGATGTGGTAAAGTTCAGCAAATGCTTTTAGCTGCAGCTGCTCGTAAGCTCTAGAGAATTTGGAATGGGAGTTCCTTTAACGCGACTCTCGTGATAAAAATTAGAAAGAAATTTACAAGCGTCAGTTGTTGGAATTTTTTTCTATTTTTTCTTTTTTTTTTTACAGGATATTCTCGGGCTAACAGTTGCTTTTTATTTGAATGTCGCAGCTCCCCAGAGCATCGAGGAGCTGCGATTGATGACACGCATTTATTGTGACAAGCATTAACTAGCGGTTTCACACACACCCACACACACACACACCCCCTCGGCCTGGGTGAACCCCCCCTCCTAGGCGACCCCACAACACAATTAGCAGCCGGCGTGCGCTCCCCTAAAAAGGAAAACAAATTGTCGACACCTAAAAACTGAGCAACTAGGCTGCTGCCCCTAGGGTATATCAATCCCCCCGATCCCCTCGCTCTCAGCTACGCCACTCGCTCATTTGTGGAAAATATTAATAAAAATAATTAATTGTGTGAAGAGCGCATTTGCAGTAAACATATTTTGATTATATATCTGGTAAGTATATAGCTTTACTTCCCACAGGTTTTGTATTACGGACCAAAATGTTCTGCACCTTCTGCGTAATTGAAGCAAAATTTTAACAAACTCAAGAGTCGCCGGCGGCGGTAGGCAACTGGCAAGGGAGTCGGAGGAGCAAGGGTGCCCCGGATCTAGGGCGTCGGGCGTCGGGGAGTCGGGCGAACGCCGGCCATGTTTGAATACGAGTCGCCAACATGTTTACATAAAACGGACTTGGTTTACAATTTGCTCAAAAAACCCTCAAACAAAATGCTAAATTTGCTTATTTTGCGAACAAAAAAAAAATATATATATATATAAGAAAAAAATAAAATATGACAGATAGAAGATTGCATACTCTTGCAGATATATAATAATAATTATATATAATATAGTACCCCGATACTGATTTAGTGTGGAATATCTTGATAAACAAAAAGGAGCTCATCTAAGAACTCATTTTTAATCGATTGTTCCTAGAGCAGCTATAGTTTTTATACAAACTCAATCTATGAGCGATTCTTTTAAGAGAAAAGGAATATAAGTACAGGGATATCTTATAGAACAGAAATATGCCTGCTCGATCGATTGTTTCTATATCCTACAGAGTTCCAATGTTGATAAGGTCTTAAGATATAGTCCCAATCATAAGAGGATTTCGATTTGCCAGTTTAAGCAGATATGTTTAAGCATCGGATGATTCGACGGATTGTTCCTATCAGAGCTATAACTTTTAGTAATCCCAGCATATATATATATATATATCTGTTGCACATTACGTGGCACAAATCTGACTAACCTGCGGCAAGAGTATATGCAAAAGAATAAAGCAAAAGCTTGAAAGGAATGCGCATTGCTGGCTGTTAATGGTAATTGGATCACCTGCTAGAGTCTAGTCCTCCGCATAGGGCGCATAGCTGGTTATCTGTCGCGCCACAATGTTGAGTATTTCGCGGGCGGGCATCTCCTGCTGCTCCCTGATGATGGCCGTGATGCGCGCACACTCCTTCACATAGTTCTCGAGCTCGCGCTGATTGGGCGCACGCCGTGACGACTCCTTGGACTGCAACGCCTGCAGGCACTGCCCAGTTATTTGTGCCAGCTGTGTGCGTGCCGGACTAAAGGTCTCGTCCAGATCGAACAGCTCCAACGGCGGCGCCGGCGGCTCACTGAAAATTGGCGGAAATGTGGCCAATTGCAGCGCCGGCAGCGGTATCTCAAATTGCGGCTTAATAATGCGCAACGGTTCGTAATTGACATGCAACTGCTCGTACGTATCGATCACATCCTTCAGCAAACGATTGCTCAGCGAGCAGAGGGTCATGTCGAACATTTGCTTAAAATCGGCGGGCATTTCCGTGCCAATGGAGTCGATCAGACAGGCCTTCGGCATATCGGCCAGGAAAGCCAAATCCGTGAAGTGTTTGTTGTCGTTTAGCTGTTGGAAATAGAATCGAATAGTTACAAAAATAAATCCAGATTCAGTTCTAGTCGGTTGTGCCCGACTAGGCGATACTCTGTAAGCGTGCCTACATTCGAAGTCTCAGCTATAAACACATCTGTTATTTATTTATATATTCCTAATAAACTTCTCTATTTATACTACGATGAGAATTTTGGTGTGTTTAGCTCAGAAATATGCCTCAACAAGAAGAGCAGTAAAGACTAGCTTCCTGCGCATAGAAACAGACAGACGGGCTATAATATTATATTATTGGATCGGAGATTTCTGCTTCCTTTCTTCTAAGCAGAAGGACAGACAGAGGCGCGGCTAAATCTTCCCGGCTCTTGATGCCAATATAGGTTCTGCTGACTGTTACATATAATCAGAACCAAACCAATATACCCCTTTTCATGGGGTGTATTCAGCTCACGCACCTCTACATCATTAAAGTCCAAATGCGTATAGCTTATCTCGCCAGTGCCCAGCAGCTGCAGCATATACTCCAGCATGGCATCGTTGGTTTTGTCCTGCAGATACTTATCGTGCCATATATAGCCACTGCCCAGTGCCAATATCTTGCCGCCCTTGGCATTGCTGAAGTAACCAGCCAGCGGGCGATTGAAGGGGTAGACAACGGGTCCGGTTGTTAGCAGCACATTGGCCGGCTCGGAGACATTTAGAGTAGCGCCGTATGGATACTGAAAGTGTATCTTGTACTTCTCATCGCTGAAATCGTAGTCCACCTTCTCGATGTCCAGTTTGAGCAGGTGCCGCCACATGGACTCACAGACAACGCCGCCGCCCACAATGCACTCCTTGGGATGAAAATTCTTATAGTAATGCGGACGCACAACGTTGTCACTGTTGATGTAGATGCCGTATTGCTCCAGAAAGAAGTTGACATTGGTATTGAACTCCTGTTCGCCGCCTTCGCCGAGCAGCACCAACAAGCTGCCACCCGACTGATCCACGTACTCCTTGAGCGCATCGAACTCCTCCTCGGTGAAGCGATCTTGTGGTCCTGCCAGCACAAAGATCTTTGAGCGCATCAAAGATTCCTGGTTCAGTTCGACATCGCTTCTGCGAATATACACATATATATATACTATATACTATATATATATCTGATAATTCCACTTACTGCTCGATATTCCAGTGCGGCTTCAGCTTGCGATGCAGCATCTTATAGTTGTCCGTTATTTGAAAGCGTTCATTTTTTGATATATCAAAGCAAATTGTCGGCTTATTGGCCATTTTGCTGTTTTTTCTATAGTTAAGTTTTTCTGTTTTGATAAATATTTTTGTGTACGCTTTTTGGTTGTCGTGGCAACAGCAGTGAGGGCACTTTAATAAGCAGTATTAGCTATATTATAGCTCTGTCAAACAAATATTTTTAGCCCGACACTTTTTTCAACTCAAATCCTTATTATGTGCCTTTGCAAACACGAATTAAATAAATCCACATCGTAATTTAATTTATGGTACATTACAGCTATTTGGGCGGCATTTGTTGTTTACCAAGAATCTGGCAACGCTGTGAGGCCAACTTCGCGCAGCTCAAAATTGCGCAGCTCGTTGCAGTTTATGGCAAACTAGCTCGATTGTATAGCATTATCGAACCAGTTCCGAGCCGAAGTACACAACTCATGAACCAACACCTGCCCTGAGTCTCGCTGTGAAAAATTACGAAAGAATTCGGCTGTTCAACGCACCCAAGACCAACAAATTTTGTGCTTACCGAACAATAATGGCATCAATCTGTGGACGCATGGCGCTGCGTGCCGCCGCACGCCAAAATGTGACATACCACTCCGTTCGCACCTGCAAAAGTAAGTAGGAATTGCGTACCAAAACGGCGCAACTTCGCCGTCACGTCCGCCTTGTTCGCGCGTGTGGCAGACAATCCCTTTGCTGCCAAGGCGCCTCCATAAGCCGTATTACATAATGCGGACACAAAATATATCAGGCCTGCTGTGTGTGCAACAAAGATTTAGCCAGATTTTAGATGGTGAAAAGTGTGCGGGTGGGAGGTTATGTAATAGCTGCGCCCAGTGAAAATTTGTGTTTTTATGAGTTTTAGCAAAAGGTGTACGCCAGCCAGCGTAATTTGCACCTCGCGGGGTTTCCAATCACTAACTAATACAACAACAGTTGGACAGTGTGTGTGTGTTTGTGTGAATGTGTACAAGGAGTAGATGATCGCTGTGTGTGCTTTTATATAACCAATATGCGCACACAGCTGATTCAGCAACTGTAAAGGCGAGCAGAGGCGCAGTGCGAAGGGGTTTTGGCATAGATTGTTATCACAACAAGAGGAAGCACTTGGCCACAGGCTGTCGCAGCTTAACCTGACCCTGTTTGCCAGCCGTTCTTCCTATGATATAGTAGTCCGATGCTGATAAGATCTTGTACATATGTTAGGCATACAGTGGGGCCTGGCTATGGCGAATCGGCTGTTGGTACTGCTCCAGAATTTATATAATTTATGAGCGCGGATTGGTCTCACTCAGTTGACGTGACACCCTCTGTAAGGGTATTTAGAATGCACGCGTATCAAAGCTTATCAATTTATAAAGATTTTCCTCTCTGCAGTGATGAACGATCCCTTGGAGCACGCCACGGGCATTGAGAAGCGCGAGCTGTTGCTGAAGGCGGCCGGCAACGATAATCCCTTCGACATGAAGGTGTTTAAGCGCGGTGCTGGCACCAAGGAGAACCCCAACTTGATTCCATCGGCCTTCGATGCCCGCATTGTGGGCTGCATCTGTGAGTAGACTGGCCTAAACAACTGCGATTCGATGAAACTAATTTCCGTACGCATTTTCACATCCGCAGGCGAAGAGGATCAGACCTACGTGCAGTGGATGTGGCTGCAGAAGGGCAACCAGAAGCGTTGTGAGTGCGGACACTGGTTCAAGCTGGTCGAGAAGGCAGCTGTTTAAAGTTATTATTAATTAATTAAATAAACCAATTAATAACAAAAACGACAAAACACACACACACAAACAAACAACCAACTATTAAGCTAAAAGTCAACAAAATAGCTTTCCAAATAAACAAACATCAATCCAAAAGTAATTGAATTGAAGAGAAATGCAAAACCAAATGCAATATGCGCCGCGTCCCGCTACAGTTTTTATTAACAACATAATTCTTAATTTGGAGCTAGCCGAGTTAGTTGCAGCAATGGAAAAGCGTGTACAAAAAAGGTTTAAATAAATTACTTTAAACAAAATATAATCCATTTCAATTGCATCAAGATATGTAGGACTAGTAGGCGTACCCGGCTCTGGCCAGAACCAGAATTTATCCAAAATGTTTGGCATCCCTTTTCCAGTATGTCGCAAGCTTTCAGTTTGCCCATTTTCACTGGGAAAGGTGGATTTTCGCAGTTTTCACCTATTTTCCGATCTGAAGGGTGGATCGAAAGCACTGAAGAACGGACTTATTTATTTTCAAATTAAAGTTTTACAATTAAGTTGCGCACATGCATTGTCAGGCAGGTTTTAAAGGCAGTTCGTCTGAGAAAAGAATCTATATTCGTTTGGAATTTTTAATGTCCCACCTAGGAGATTGCTCTTCGCCCCAAAAGCCGACTACTACGAAAGTTTCGCCGTTCTAGTTTTTAGGGCTGGTTCCCTGATTATCGCTGGAACCAGTTGAGAATTGTAACTAACGATTTAGAGTAATCCTCCTAGTAGGCCTACAATTTGTATATGTATATAACTTTTAAGCATTTCTACATATGAGAGCTCATTCCTTTTCATCATTGCAAAGGAAACGGATGCCATATTGAGCTAGACGTATATATTTCGTTTCAAAAAATATATTAAAAACATATTTGAGAAGTCAAGATGTCGTCATTCATCTCGCGACTGCTCAAATCTCCGTTCGCATCCAAGCGTCTCGTCTCGCAATTGACACAACGCGGCGAGGGCAAGCTAGGCGCAGTGCTGCGTCAGCTCGGCCTGAAGCGTGTGCTCGGCGTCTTTGGGGTCAAGGAGGGTGCCGGCACGCGTGCCATATCCACAACTCCGGTCTTGAAGAAAGGTGAGTGAGAGAAACATGCGCACGTTTTGGTCTGGCATAATGCAGCTACTTTGAATGCCATAGAGCTGACCGATGACATGGAGCTGGCCACGGGCATTTTCAAGCGCGAGCTAATGCTACGCCAGGCAGGCTGCAACGATCCGTGGGCCATGAAGAGACCCATGAAGCGGGGCGCAGGCAGAGAGAATGATCCGACGGTCATACCGTCGGCATTTGATGGCCGCCTCGTAGGTTGCTTGTGCCTCGGCGATCGTGCACCCAAGTGGATGTGGCTGGAAAAGGGCAACCCCAAGCGCTGCGAATGCGGACACTATTATGTGCTAAAGAATGTGCCGGCTATTTAAATCGGACAACGGGACAAATGGAGCGCTGTATCTACACACAAACGCACAACGAAAACACACACACACACACACAACAAATGCTTATCAATAATAAATACTCGTACACAAAAAATTCACACGCCAACAAACACATTGAACTGATCTACAGAAAACAACAAGTATCGAAACCTAAATAGTATTCATAAAACATTGCATGATATTATCCAAAATTGGACATCTATTTATTGACATTCAGTGAGCGCTCTCTTGTCTGTACCCATTGATAACGGGGGGAAAGGGTATAGTGGAGACATCTTTGACCCGTTACGGTCTGTTCGCGGAGGATCAGTTGGCATTGAATGTGAATAAATGTGGTATATTGGCACGTTCAGGGAGGTTAAGAAGACCTAGTCGAGAAATCTAAAAATAGTTTTTTTATCTTCCCAAATTCTATTTTTTAATCGACAATTTGGGTTTATTTGGATCTGGATCTGATGTATGAAGTACATTCATACCATGTCGAATACAAAAGGGAAAACATTTAAGCTGTCCGACTGTGCGTTAAACCGAGCTTGTACTGTATTGTCGGTAATTGTTTCTGCATATTACCTAGTTGTCGTTTAACTAACTACATAACTATTTTGTGTTTTGCTGGTGTCATCCTTTCGCCAGCTGGTCCTTAGTTACTTTTTAGTTATTTCAGTGTGTAGCCGGTCAAGAGGTAGCCACTGTTACCGCTCATGTTGACCTCGGGATGTGATCGATTTGGCAGTATTTGATACATGCGCATCCAGTTGGAGGTCACATGCAGGTTGGTCACCTTGCCGGACGTCTTCAGCTCCATGTAAATTTCCTGCAGCAGTTCCTTGCATGTGCTGAAGATAACAATGGGTCGCGAGGGTTTCACCAGCGGCAGCAATGCCTGCAATATATTCGACGGATGCTCCTTGGCAGCCATCACCAGGTTGTCGAATTTCGCATTCATCAGCGCAACGGCGCGTTTGTTCTCCAGTTGCCAGTGCAACGGCCCGGATTTGTTGGTTGCTTTAGGTAAAATCAAAAGATAATTGAAATATATCATTTGTTTGATTGGCAACCTGCCAAAACCAAATTCGAAAATGATTTTCCAAAACACGTCTCATTTAATATACGCTGATCCCATTGAAAATGGCTAATGCATTTGTGCAATTGTACATAACAGGCAGAATGAAGCATTTCCAACCCCATAAACTATATAAATTCTTGATCAGCATCAATAGCCGAATCGATCTGGCCATGTGCGCCTGTCTTTTTGTCTGTCTATCTTGTATACAGATCAAGTATCTTTCTTTCTATGGCAAGAAGAGAGCACTGTTGCTAATATTTAAATTCATTATTTTTTCATTGGCATCCAATTCTTGGTACAGATGTAGTGTATAAGTAAAGTGTAATGTAAACACGAAGATGTGTAACGCTCACACATTGGGAGCGTCGCAAAGTTTCTCCTCAAACGCAAGTGGCCGATTGGCTCTCGCTCGGCAAGGCCGAAATGGACGCATGCCGAATGCAACTTGTTGATGCTCTCACCAGCAACTGGGTCAGTCGCCGGCAAAGCTGTTTCGGCTGAATTGGGCATAATTTATCTAAGATCATATTAATCGCCTTAATATTTATATTGTCGGGTTATCAGGTTGGAGATGTTTCCTTGTGTCTGTTATACATTTGATGGAAAAATTAGTAATCAAATTGTTTTATGCAACCATTTTCAAATAATTTCGACATTTGCGGAGTTCATTTTCCGGTTCTTTTTCCGGTTTTCGGTTCTCTTCCGCTTAATCAAGGAAAGGAGCATCAGCTTTAGATATAGATTGCTTACAGTTTGACGATTCGTCCAATTTGACCTTCTTGGAGCTGGGCTCAATGTTGTCGCTCTGCTCCTCCGTGTTGGTATCGCTGTCATCTGTGGGGGTTACTAGCTCCGCTGCCTCCTTGGTTGGCGCCGCTGTTTCCACTTCTGTGGGAGCTTCTGTTTTCGCCTCTGGCCTGTCGCCCTGATAAAACTCACGCAGCACCGAGTACAGATTGACAGAGATGCAGCGCTGTTGCTGTTCCAGTGGCAATTTGAGCGCCAGCAGAGCTTGCTTTTGTGGCACATTGCCGGGATGCATGTGTACAAGTGTTGCCTCTGTGCCGGCACCCATGGAGTTCAGCATGGCCGCCGGCAAGAGACCATTCGTGCCGCTCTCGTATAACAAATAGCTGCCAAATCCAGAGACACCCGAGTAGGAGATTATTTGGGAGAGCGTATCCACACGTATGCCCATTATCTTATCAGCGTCCTGTCGATGGAATATGTCGGCCATTAGACGTATACTGGGCTGGCGAATTTGGACAAACTCAAAGTACTTTTTCTCCTTCTTCAGCAGATACTTGTCCTGTGAGTACTCGGTGCGTGTGTGAAATGTTTTCGAGTTCTCCACCAGCTTCTCAATTATTTTGCTGGACTCGTTACACGCCTCGCGCAGCTGCTCAATATCCTGCAAATGAAGGTTGCCCCTGTTGTTGTTTTTTTTTTTGCTTTCTTTGTAACACGCGGTAAATCTGAGCCCTACGTACCGCGGACTTGAGGGCCTGCGCCTCGCCATTGTCGCTGATGTCCCGATTGTCGGCTCCACTGCTGGAAATGTTTAGCACATCCCGTATGCTGCGCAATTCATTTTCGGTGCACAGCTCGAGCCGGTGCTGCCGTTGGGCGCCACGTTTGCCCACCTTCGACTCCTTGACGCACATCTTGAACGTGGAGCCATACGGTTGATCCAGCAGCGACTTTAGCTCCAGATGCTCCTTACCCAATGTGGCTGTCGCATCAAGGCTTCCAAATTTTTGCAATTTCGTGTACTTTTGACGCTGAATAACAATATAATCGCCCAACTGTATGGATGCCATTGCGACTTAAATCACATAAAAAAAATTCGATAGGCAAACATGCGATAACATAAGGAAATATAAAAAATATATCGAAAGGTAGCACATTTTAGTTCCCAAATGGTTTCCTCTGAAGCAAGCTCCAGTACCAAAGTTATCTCCACTGGTTTAAGAAATGTCACATTTTCCAATTTCACATTATGGTGTTCCACCGGTTGTCGTTGAAATGTGAGTGGGAAAAGTACCGCTTCTTTAAATACACAACTAATAGAGTTGCTTTAATTTAGATAAGCGCCGCAAAGTTTTTCCAAAACTCAAATAATGCGATCTCGAAGTAAGGTTCCCATTTAACATACTCTTTTCGATATTTTGTCATGTTTAAATGCTAACAACTGTGGGATAGGTACAATTTAAAACTTCTTATTTCAAGTTGCCTATGAATATGGTTATGATTCTTTCACATTTTTCACAACATCGATAGAAATCTCGATTAAGCAACCCAAATTTACGCATATTTTAAGAATGTGATATGTTTGATGTGATTTTTTTTGGAAAATATGTAAATTGTGTTTTCCTATGGGAAAACGTACAGGCCGCATTTTACACATTTTGCAAAAATGTGTCATTTTCAGAAATGTGTAAGAAATGTGGGCAGTGGAAAAAGGCTATTAAACGAATATTTAAAAAATTCGATAAAAAAAAGTTTTTGTTTTAGGAGAATATGCGGAATGTTAACAAAAATTATTGAGCTTTTGTTTTGTTTTGCTCTCACATGGAATAGAACATGCTATTAGTTGGTTTATAGATGATCAATCGCATTTTTCTTTTCTCAGTTTTTTTTTGTTGTCGAATTTTGAGAACATTTGCAATCGTGCACTCTGGTAACACGGAAACAGCTGTTGGGCCACGCGTTGGTCAATCTAATCTAATCCCAAGGACTATAAATAATCGCGTTCAATCTTATCTAAGATTTTTTAAAGTGCCTTTTCTTGCCGAGAATCAATTAAGACATTACCTGACCAGGTTTTGGTGCCAGCTACAAGCTCGTGGAACCCGTGAAACCTGTTGCTAACCTAACAATTAACAGTTAATTAAAGCCTCGCCCGCATTTGAAAGCAACGAACCAAACAAGCAAAATGGCAAACAGAAGAGGTGAAGAGTCGCCATTCATTGATGAAAAGCGGCCAGTGAAACTGAATCCATCATATGAATCCCAAATGAAGGCGGACCCCAATGGCAAAGGATCTGGCTCCATGATGTCAAAACTCGTGTCAACCCTACAGCCGCCAGAGGATAAATATAAACTAGTTTTCTTCATATTTGTGCTGCACGGGCTGGGCACACTTATGCCCTGGAATATGTTTATTACAGCAAAATCATATTTTGAGGACTTTAAATTGGGTGAAAATTACACAGTTAAAAGCGAGGTTAATTACAGAGGTAACTTTATGCAGAATATGGGCTTTGCTTCACAAATCCCGAATGTCCTATTCAATTGGCTGAACATATTCATGAACTTTGGCGGTGATCTAACCAAGCGTATAGTATTTAGCATTCTATTCGAACTGGTTATTCTGATAATAACTGTTGTGCTTGCCATGGTGGACTCATCCGAGGTAGGCTCATGTTCAATTTACTTATTACTGAAACCTAATTTGTATTTATCGATTCCGCAATAGTGGCCTGGCATATTCTTTTGGACTACAATGTCATCCATTGTGCTTATAAACATGGTGAGTTCCCGGATAAACAGTGAAATTTATCATACACCTGCGCGATATATTACAATTTAGCGTAAAAGAGGAGTCATATTCGGTTCTATTGTTTTAGTCAGTTTGTTTCTGTTCCAAATCGATTCATATATCGACTGGAATAGATCTGTCTAAAAATCTGCTACATGGTTCCAATAGAGTTTTTCTATGAACAAATTGTATGCTATAGCCTAATTCCGCTGTCAACATTTCGTAAAAATTTTTTGTGCAAATGTAACATTTTAAGAGCGTAATGGAATCAGGTTATTAATCAACGACACATCTTCGATAAACTTAGAAATTATGATAGATAAACAACATCCGATTATTTAGCTTCACAATGCAAAGCAAAACAACAATTTACAAACAAACAATTTACAATTTTCTATTTTTAGTGCAACGGCATCTATCAGAGCACTATTTATGGACTCGTTGCGGCCTTACCACCCAAATATACGGGTGCTGTTGTTTTGGGATCAAATATAAGCGGATGTTTTGCCACAATTATGTCTATGTTATGTTCCATGTTTTTCACCTCAATGCGAACATCGGCTATATATTATTTTTTAACCGCAATTTTAATTTTACTCTTTTGCTTCGACACGTATTTCGCGCTGCCTTTAAACAAATTCTTCAAGCACTATGAAATGCTGAGCAGCGAAAAGAAATCCGAGTCGCACACCCAGTTAAATGTACCCTACTGGAAAATTTTTAAGAAAGCTTCGCCACAGCTTTTTAATGTATTCTTCACCTTCTTTGTAACACTAGCTGTTTTTCCAGCCGTCCACTCGGATATCAAGCGTTCCAAAGATTTTGTAATTAGCGAAAAGTATTTCACATCACTCACCTGTTTCCTAACGTTCAATGTGTTCGCGATGCTGGGCAGCTTGACCACCTCCTGGATACAATGGCCTAGACCAAAATTTTTAGTTGTGCCTGTAGTTTTACGTGTCGTTTTTATACCCTTACTGATATTCTGTAATTATGCACCGAAAGATATTGTTAGAACTCTACCAGTTTTAATTACCAACGATTGGTTATATTGGATCGTTGCGATTATAATGTCCTATAGCTCCGGCTATCTAAGTTCCTTGGGCATGATGTATGCACCACAGACAGTTAATGTCAAATATCAAATAACCGCCGGCATGTTTGCCGCCGCGATGCTTGTGACTGGCATTTTCTCTGGCGTAATGTTCTCATATTTGAGTCCACTTATTATACAACTTTGAAATTTTCTTTCACTTCAACGAGTTGCTTTCATTTTCTTTTTTACATTGCATGTTGCTTTAATTACACATAAAAGGATATTAATAAATGGACAAACTAATTTGTATACATTAAGCATTGAGTGTTCACTCTTTCACAGACTAAGAAAATATTACTTTATATTTATCGCGTTGAAAATAAATACAATACAAAACAACCGTATGTGCATTTGAAACATTGATTGATAAATTAGAATGTTTTTCATGTTTCAAAAAATGTTGTTTTGAATATACTTAAGTATTCAACGAATTGTGCAGCTAGAAAACTTGACTGCAGCTTATAGAATCGAAGATAAAACTGAGGCGAGTAAGTGCGAATGGAGACTGAATACACTTTATGTCTCTCAAATCTTAAAAAATGAAAATGCTCTCTCAGCTTCGGGGGTCTGTAAGACAGACCAGACATTTTATGTCTCTCAAACCAAACGGAAAGACCGACAAATGCTTAAAAAATGAGAATAATCTTTCAGCTTTAGCTCTGTATGAATCTTGATTACAAGCAAAAAATTGGGTAGGGATTTTAGAGTATAAAGATGCCGGATATGCAAACACTTTTATCAAACGCAGAAGTTGAACAAGATATTTTAGCCAAACTGTTCCATAAGCCAATTGAATTTGCTGCTCTCATTATACAAATGTTTATAACAATTCTGGAAACTGATAAATATAGATTCCATGCCGATGATTTCGCCAGAATTTCGTTGAATAACGAAGCAAAACATTTGCAATTTTATTTTTTTCTTTTTACACGCTTGTAAAGGCTATTACAATTTGGTCATGGCATGTGTGTAACGCATAGAAGGAGATAATTCCGAATCCTTAAACAATTTATGAGCATCAACAACCGAGTCCGTCTTTCAACCTGTCCGTCTGTTAATATCTATGCAAACGAGTCTTAGTTAAAAATCTGTCATCAAAGCAAAATCTCAGGCTCCGGTACGTCTTTCTGTTGTTCATATGGCTGCCATTTCAATGATCAATCGAAAAGTTGATTTTAAAAAAATTACCAATCCAAACTTAGATAAGAAAGCTAACAAAAATAATTTATTCAAAAGCCAAAGCAAATGCAGAAAATAACAAAACATGGACGTGTGCAAATATAATAACGAAACCAATTACCTACTGTATAAAGCGGTTTTATTTTAAAATTAGCCATTTCAATGAAGCAATTGGGTATCGGTGCTCCAGAGCATCGACCAGCTTAGTCAGAGGCTGTCTGCCGACTGGCCCTGTGCTGCTCGAGTGAGCATCGAAAAGAGGCATTCGGCATGCGTTCGTGTGGCTTTTGGAGAGCGAGAAGCCACTCAGCGGCCGCATTCCAATAGAGAATGACATGTAATTAGCGTACATGAAACAAAATTGGATATGAAATGGCAGCAGGATATCTTGAAACAATTGTTTCGCTGTTTTGTTTTGACCATAGAAATGGCTCTATACGTTGTCTTTTATTTATCATAAAGAACTTTGGTAAAAATTTGGTAAAATTTGAGTGTATGTTTTTGTTGTCTTTTTACATGTTATGTAATCACATCAGAGGGCAGCAAAAACTTTAACCTTAGATATTCGCCAAAGCGAGCTTTCACTGTACATACGTATATGTATATGCACTTCATGCCAATATTAGAATGCCAAATGCATTGCTCTAAAAATAGCTACCGAGTAGCAACATTTGATGGCCTATTTGCATTTGTAAATTATCTTTAAAATCTCACAGAATTTGGGAGATTCGCGCGGACAGCGCGTCTCCAGGCCAGTTATCTGCTCGAGGGCAACTTCCACATCGACCACATTGCACATAATCGATTGCAGGCGCTTTGGGAATTTCGTATCCGAGGACTCAACTAATTGCCGCGTTGTGTCCAGCATATCATGCAAGTCTTGCGCCATAACGCCATGATAGCTGACGACCAGCTCCTTCAGCTGTGGCAGCTGCTCAGCGATGCGAAAGCCACAGTCCTGCGCATCGGAGATGCCCAAACGCTGCAAACGTAAGAGGCCAGCGGCGGGCGCTTCCAGTATGGTTTGCTCCAAATTGTATCGATTGGACGTGAGATCCAGTGTGGTCAGCTGCAGCTGTGCCAGCAGCTCGGCCAGATGCTCGGCCTCGATGGAGCACTCCCGCGCCACAAGCGTCTGCAGATTGTGAAGGCCAACCATAAACATGCCCGTTATATAGGCGCTGGACACGCTCAGGCTGTGCAGGTGTGGGCAACTTTTTGTTACATTCTGTATCATGCTGTTGTTCATGTAATTGTCGGTGACGCATAGCTCGCGCAGATTGTTCAGGTTAAGGCACAGATAGAAGGCCAGTTCGGGACGCATCAAATGCCGTCCCAGATACGAATCGAACGCCTTGTCATGCACATTCCAGATGTACAGCTTCTCCATGTATGTGCTGGTCAGCTTGAAAAAGTATATATAATCCTCCTTGTTCAGTGGCGCCAGCATATCATCCGATATGGAAACCTCTCGGTAACGCGGCTTACGCCACACAATTTCGGCGAGCAGCTCCTCATACCGCAACGAGCTCCGGGCCATTGCGATTTGGTCTGGCAATGTCAAGTACTCCAATATAATGCACAAGCAGTCGTCATTTAGCTGATCGATGTTCATTCTCATTGATCAGAGATAAATAAAGCAAAAACACCTGAGCAGCAGCAGAATAACAAGATAACAGCTGTTGAGATTGGTTGATACGCGTTAAGTGTGACCGTTTGCTTGCATTTAGTAAAATCCTCCGCAAAATACCAAGCATATTCAAAAATACCAAAAGTTATTTAAAAAAAGAGCGCGCAAACCGGAATTGTTCAAAAACTGACAGACCATACACCCGCCTTTTCAAATTGTAATTGAAGCGTATTTTGGGAATAAAAAAAATACCTAGTAATCAAAATAACAGTACCCACAATTAATCACGCACAGAAACATTGATCAATACAAAAAAACATAATATAATAAAATAATAATATCGATTAAGTGACTGACCGACTGACTGAGTGATTGAATGATTGATTGGCTGATTTGTGGTCGTATAGTCTTACATCTAGATGTAACATAACGTTTTGAAAAATTAAGAAAGTTTGTGTCAATTTCATTGCATGAAAGAATAAATATCTTTTTAAGGCAACTTTTTTTTAATTAGCTTCAAACTTGTATTTAAAGCTCTACAAAATACCAATATCAATCCATTTTAATAGTAAAAAAAAACTATTACTTTTTGCTTTATTATTCAATCGAATTCAAGGTCGGTTCAAAGCACGCAAAGTGATAGCTTATATTGAACAAAAAGCATTTGTACCGGGCAAGACCGGGTAACATTTGGTAGTGTATGAATTGTGTACATGATTTTTGCGCTTAAGACGTTTAATCGCAACAACTTTATGATCTTTGATTTGCAAGTAATTCATACTGAGCTCAATGACAGCTGAGAAAGGGCACCGATAAAGCTGCAATGGAATTTCACAGTCATGACAAACAATTTCATTGCCAAAGCCTGCTAAAAAAAAAGGCAGAAAAACTTTCGTAGTCTGCCCCACCGTCCGCCTCGCCTTGCATATCAATTAACATTTTGAGTGTGTTTCCATGTTAAACTGTCACTTTTATACGCATCATGCAGCACCAGACCCAAATCCAGGCCCAAACCCAACCCAATTCCCAGCACAATTGGCCCAGACCCATGCTCAACCATGGCTGTAGGGTGGCAGGGGCTTCGCTTTGTCGGCATTGTCTGTGCCTCCCTCGCATGATTTGTGCGTGACCATGCGAAATGTAAATTATTTATATATGTTCTGTCCGTCCGTATACAAGGCATTAAAGTCGCAGCTCGTTATTCTATTGAGTCGTACTACGGCCAGTCAGCTGCCCGGCATAAAAAGAATTTCCGAATGTTAACTGAAGAGAGCCTCGTCGGGGCGCCGGCCATTGATTGGCATGAGCTTAGCGCCAAATGTAGCTTGTGTGCACAAAATTAAAAATATGAACGCTTCACAAAATTGGAGCAAGCATTGTAAATTTGCATTTCATTTATCACAGATGACAAAAATTAAGCAACAACAATCAAAAAAACTAGTTACAATGCGGATGGGGCTTAACATGAGCTTAAGACACGTTGCAATGAGTCATGAAGTGTAACTATATTTTTAAATTAATTGGCAGAAAGCTCTAGTTACAAGGAGGATGGGGCTTAACACGAACTTAAGGTACGTTGTAATGAGTCATTTTGAATATTTTAAAAGAAAGCTCTAGCTACAATGCGGATGGGATTTACCATAAACTTATGACACTTTGCAATGATAGCTATTTTGAATTTGTGGTCTCAAAGCTTTAGTTACAATGCGGTTGGGAATTAACATTAACTTAAAGCACGCTGTGATGAGTCATGAACTATTTTGAATTTATTAACAGAAAGCTCAAGCTACAATGTGGATAGAGTTTAACATGGACTTCAGACACGCTGTAATGATTCATTTTAAATATTTAAACAGAAATCTTTAGTTAGTTAGTCTAGTCACATGAGTCATGAAATGTGACAGGATTTCGATATCGATTTCAATCGATTGCTTGGCAACGGTTTATCGATTATCGGAAACAAACTCATACTGGGCAGGTACTAGGCGTACCTACGATTAAAATATCTCTAATAGATTCTAAGATCGACGCGTTCATACATACAGACTGACAGACGAACAAAAGGGCGGACGTGTCACATCGCCCTTCAACCCTCACAGCGTTGATGTTGTCTTTGGTTGAAGCACGGCAAAAGAGAGAGCGTCGGTTCAATGCCAAAACACTTAAATTTGCGCATCTTAAAATACTTAAAAATAGCAATTGTGTTTACTTGAGCAACTTACCTTGAATCGTTTACCTGAAATGAGATAAGAAATAATATTTAATAGCAGTCAACTGTCACACTTCAAACAACTTCAATCAAGAGTCTCACTTATAAGTGCTTATATATTTTAATGGTACTGATTGGTGGGCAATGAAGTGCCTCAGCCTGCTCGGGTTTCACTTAAGTGGCCTGCAATTTGTGCACCTAATTGCAGACTCTGGTCTCTGGCCAGTCGTATGCACTTGACAACTTTGCAATGGCTCAGTAAAAAAATAAATGAAGAAAAAATAATATTCAAGTGTGCTTCATTGCTGCGGCAATTAGCTGGATACACGCCCACGCCTAAACGTAGGGCAGTTGAAATTATAGTTATACAAATTTACCACCTGGCCGAGTGCGAACGCCTTCAAGACGCCGTTGCCCGATGAAATATGCAACTTTGATTTTTTGTGTCCAGCCAAACAATTGGCCAATTAAGTCAAAAGTTTGGCTTGCTTGTAATGCCCCCCCCCCCCCCCCTCCGTTCCCTTCATTCCACCTATAGCCGACACACCTGGCCCAGGGCTAGGGGCCATTGCATGCCAGACGAACATTTTGTGGCCATTTGCGTGCCGCTTTGTTGGTCAGCCCAGCAAATGTACTGAATGTTGGCTAGAATTGGGAATGTGGCGCGGCCAGCTTTGGACTGCAATTCGTAGCATGTTTAATGCAGATTTTGCAGTCGTTGGGGCTTTCACGGTTTTACATTTTTCGATTTTGCAGACATGCTGGCATTGCAAATTGAATAGCACACTTTTGTGCGCCGGCCGCAATATTTCTTTCTAATTCGTTCCCCAGAGGTGAGAAGATGATTTATGAGCGGAGCTTCTACAATAATTAGGCTAAAATTCAAGAGAATTTCAAATAATTGATAATACAAATTAAATGCTTGCATTAACTGTAAAGACTTATGCTAAGAATTTGTATGCCTGAAAGAAGTGTAAAGTGTGTCTAATTGAAATCCTGCATGTGTTTGATTGAGCACAGTTTTAAGAGCTTTTGCTGCACTTAATTTAAGAAAGTTCTAGCTTGATTTAAGTAGAAAAATACTCGGCAAGTACCATGCTGATCAACCCATTGAAATGTTATTTTTTATTATTATTCTTGGCTTTCATGCTTTGGTTTATTGTATGTATATATATATTCCTTTTGGATTTTTTCTTTTTTTTTGAGTTTGCTAAATGCCTGGCGAAATTATTTAACCTCTCAGCTAATTAAGTCAATGTATTACATAATTGGTAATTTATATTAATTTCGTTAATAATTGTTTTTCATTTGTTTTTTTCTTTTTTTTTTCTTTTTTTGTTTGTAGCTTCATGGAAGAGAAGAAATTGTTGGATCACATAAGTAGGTTTTTGTCAAACGTCCTAATAACAAAATAAATCAAGTATGAGTAAAAGTTAAGTAACCGTTTTAAAGCTTATTTACATTAAACATAACTAACAAGTGCCATAGTTTTTCGTTGGTTTATGCTTAGGCTTAATTTGAAACAATCGAGACCCTACAAATAGAGTTTCGCATTTTAGTTCACGCTCATTTTCAATGTTTTGTTCTTGTTTTTCATTTTTGTTTTTGTTTTTGTTTTGTTTTGTTTCGTTTTAAGGCTGAAGACAGAGTATTAAAATGTTATTGTTTAAGAGTAAAGTTGTTTATAAAATATATTTATCATATATCAAAGTATAGTTACTTTTTTCTTTTTTGTTAGTTATATAGGGCGCATATATTACAGTTATTAATAATATTATTATTATTATTTTTACATAGCTTTCATATTTTCGATTTTTAGTACCTTTGAGCTAACAATCTAATTAACAGTACACACTTTTGAAATATTTCTTACGACTATAAAAATGGTTTTTTATTTATTTATTTTGTTTTTTGTTTTTTTTTTTTTTGCTTTGGATTGGTTTGTGACTCGAATAATGCCAACGCTTGATCCACTAAACGAACTAGACTACGAATCGTATATATATCATATGCCTATGCACATATAAATTTTGTATAGTTTTTGCTTGTATAATTACTAAGTTGCAAGTCAATATTCAATATATATATATATATCTATATATATATTACTACATTGAGTTATCCATATGTACTATATACCTTTGTGTATATGTATGTGTATATATATATATATATGTATATATGTATTGCAAATTATGTAATTGTAATTTGTTCACTACGCTGTTCTATATAAATATCTTTTAAATACTCGTATTTTAAGAATTCTTTTGGTAATTGGTCCTTAGTACACTACATAGAAAGCTTTTAAAAACTGTAGAGCAATTTAAATTTCTATAGCATACATTTGAGCGCGCAGACAAATGACACCGCGAGGCAGTTCAAGTTCCCCCCAACTAGATTAGCCACCAGCGCAGCAAGCACTATGGACAATACGCTGCGTTTATCGAGCAGATATTCTTTGTTTTGGCTTAAATGAATGAAAGGTAAGGCCCAGTTTTTGAATGAGTCAAAAAGTGTCAATGCTCTTTGATCAAAATGGTTTGACTTAGCAAGAGGAAGGAAGAGTAAGACAAAAAAGTATGTTGTCCGACTTTAGTGTAGAGAGAATAAGAAGTTATTTTTAAAAAAAAGCGCAGCAGTTTACAAAGAAAAAATAAGAAATGCGTGTGTTGCAATTTCATTATTAGTAAATTGAAAAGAATCTGACAAAGCAAAGTTCAACTGAAACCTAACTTAATGCATGATTCCGTTCTAGTTTTACACTCTTCGATCTGTTTTTTGAAATTTTCAACTGAGTTGGCAAGTAAACCCTTTCTGTATATCCACCCCATTTAATATTCACTCTGAAATTATTGTTATAATTCGGTTTGTAAGATTAGAAAAAAAAGAAACATACAAAAAAGAAATATAGGCCGGCGGCAGCCAGTGCTGTCATTTGTCATCTAAAGTTCGCCTTTGCCCCACAGTTCAGTGCAGACCTCCAGCATTTGTGTGTGCATGTGTGTGTGTGCATGTGTGTGTGTGCAGGCTTCTCAACTGTCCAACCTAGCCCCTCGTTTTTTTTTTTTTGTCATCTACTTTAAGCAAACACCTTTTTGTGTCAACAAACACAGAGAGACGAGCCATGTTTCAAAGGCAGCTGCCCTTTTCATGCTGCCCACAGCTGTGACGACCTTTTGCAACCTTGTACACGGCCCTAAGCGTGGGCGTCACTGTCCAGGTGTGTCAGCGTGTGTGTGCGTGTGGGTGTGTGTGCCCTGTCCTGTGTGTCCTTTTGGACGCATGTTAATTGCGTCTGGCAAAACAGGCTAACTTGGGCGAACGTAAAATTAAGAAAAAAAACGTCTAAGCCGCACATTAGGTGTCAGCCAGATATAAATTTATGCTGGCCTTGTTAAGCTTTAGTACACAGAAGCTCACACACATTTACACACACACGCACACACACATACATATGTGAGCCACTCAACTGTGGTTTTTTTTCTCTAGCAAATTTTGCGAACGCAAAATAAGTTGGATAAAAAGTCAAAATTAAAATTGTCCCAAAAAGTTATCTAATATTATTTTAAATTAATAAAACTACTCAACTCTTAAAATTGCTGCCAGCTAATAAATGTTTAAAACAGATTCAAGTGCAGCCAATTGATTGGGTACGTTACGCACTTGCTGACAAATTGATAGGGCCCTTCGAAAGGGTATATAAGTATTCTGCATTGCGCATATTTTCACCTAGCTTCGATGCATATTTCCGCCATCACAACGAGCAGCTGCAGTTGTCCAACTGCTAATTACCTGGCTGAGCTGTGGCGCCACAAAAAAAAAAGCCTAATTAAATTAATCCTTATGCATAGATGACGCCCGCAGGACGCGGAACCGGATTGCGATGCGATGTCATTTAGTTTGTTGGCATTTTTTTTTTAGTGTTTTTTTTTTTGCCAACTTTCTGCCAGTCGCATTCGAATTTTAAACGTGTATCGCAGCTATTTTTGACCTTTTCGTTTTTGTTTACTTTGGTTTTTTGCACTTAATATCTAGACATTATTGGGCTTGGTTAACTAATATATATTTAACGCTACATTCACTACGCTCATTTAGAAATGTACTTTTGGTTTTGACTTCGGTGCGAAGTTGTTGCAATCAACATGAACTGAATTAATATGCCATTAAATATAACTATTAAATATTAAATATTATTATTGCGCTACTTATATGCGAACAGTATTTATGCTTAAGTTCACAATTAAATTATAATTGAATTTGGCCATTTTGTTTTAAATTTAGCATTCAATTAAATTGATTTCTTGCTGTGCTTGTGCGAATGCTCAGATTTATATATATTTTTTTTCTTTTATGGCTGCTCATTTTATATTTGCGCGCTTACTTTATTATTTATGTCTTGTTTATTGCAGCATTTTCATTTCATTCAATTTACATCTACTCAATTCTACGGTTTTAATGCGAGTGCAAAAAGTGTTTAAATGTGCGGGAGGCGCGGGTCAACAGCGCAACATTTGCGGGGAGCGGAAATTTTAGAGCAAAAATAAATTGTTTATATTAAAGCTATTGATGTGAGCAATCTTTTAATTTTGAGCAATTCCATCAGACTTGGCAGAAATTTTTGATTGTACTACCTGATAAAAAAAAAAAAAATAAAATAAATAACCTGTAATAAATAATTGCGGCTCATAAACTCCATATGAGATTTATGTTTGCCATCATTGAACAAAATTTTAGACTCTCGGTTATCAGAAAATGTTATTTAAATTGCTTTTTCAAATGTTTGTAAATTGATTTATGTATATAATTTCCTTTACAACGCTTTCTCGCTCCCCCTGTGACCCCTCCTGTTGACATTTGGCAGTGCCACCTGGTGACCTTTGCACTACAGTAAATATATTGTTTATTTTGGTATTTCATTTTTGGTCAAACCCCATTTGCAAATGTATGCAGCAAATGCATAAAAAATCGAATAAATCAAAAGAAATATGCGACACTTACGCGCTGTTTTATCCGCCGTCCGGCATTAACATTTATGTATGTATGTATATATGTGTATGTTGCACATTTGTTCATGTCTGTGTATGCGTGTGTGTAACTGCTTGTCATGATGACGTCATGTTCTCACAACCATGTTGACTGCATGTGTTTTTTCGCTTTCTTTTTTGCGCACGTTCACTTAGCATTTATTTGTTGCTTATTATTTTGTACAAAGCGCAATTTACACTTATTGTTGTAACATTTGGCTGTGTCTATATCTTACAACGATCAAACGCGAGACAATAAATAAAAAAAAAAAAAACACTCTTTCTCCTTTGTTGATGCCGGGCTACTTTTCTTATAAGCCTTTGCATGACTGATCAACCATATTTTTGTTCAGTGATCTGGATCAGTCTAATTATTTATCGATATATTTACCTTTCGAAAATTGTCAATGGAATCGCATATCGATATTTACTGCAAATACTGCAGTGTGTACAACTGTGTGTGTGTGTGTGTGTGTGTGTGTGTCTTTCTTTTAACACGCCTTTCTCGCACTTTTCGGTTTCGTTTATTGCTTCGCACTGCTGTAATCAAAAAAAAATTTTTATTCTGCTGCTTATGCTGTTGATGCTGCAATTTATTGCTGCTGCATATCGCCGCCGCTGCCCAGGCCGGCCTTGGTCTCTGGGGGCACCTGTTGTGTGTACACATAGAAATTGAATTTAACGTGTTAGTTTCAAATTGAAATCGACTTCATTTGATACGGCCAAAGATATATATATATATTATGTAAATTAAAGACACAATCAAAGCATAAGCAACATTCAGGTAAAATAGCAAGTGTTCGTGGGTGTGTGTAAATCGATCTTCTCTGTGTGTGTGTGTGTGTGTGCTGTGTTACACCCAAGGAAAAAAAGGAACAGAAATGAAATCACATTGAAATGGTTCCAATAAAGAACAAGCCCCAAAATATCTACACACACATACAAAGAAACACACACAGGCACGCATACGCACACATACATACGCCATAGAGCCAACAATTTGTTTGCGGCATCAAAAAACATCACGACAATTAAACGAAAATAATAATTAGATGAACGTAAACTTGGACAAAACTTGCGTACGAAACAATACGAAAGGAGACGGAAAGGGAACTCAAAGAGAACTGAAAAAAAGAACTAGTTCAACGAAGAAAAGAAGAAGATATGTGCATACACTCAGCGAAAAACGACGTACAAAATTCACTTGATTTTGCTGTGAATGTATGCTCCAGAAAACTAAATACATATATTATATAAATTATAAAAATATATTCTTAAATATGTCTTTTGAAGTTTGAGACATTATAAGGTTTTGATTTAATTTGATATGTCTTGCCAACATAAATACAAAATAAAATTAAATTTGACATTGGAAGCCTTGAAAACTAAAACCTTGCATAAGAACATGCCCACAACAGATTTTTAAGTTTAAAAAAAAAAAAAACAGATAGGTATTCCGTTTAAGCATAATCATGTAGCAGAAACTTAATGAAACGAACAAATAAAATAAGGTTTTTTTATTTTTAATTTTTTTTCAGTCCCCGTAAAATGCTCAATAAGACATTTAAACAGCGAAACAGAGAGAAGTCTACGGATGACAACAAAAACAACAACGACGACGATTGATAACAACGGCGACTGTACCTAGTACTTTGGGACTGGCGAAAATCGAGGATAAATCGTTTAACCGCCATAGAAACTATGAAAGTCCAGAAAATCCATGGAATCTGTTTGATTTTGCTGTTGCTGGTCGAGCTACGCGATAGATCGTTGACAATATCGCATCAAATGTGTGGAATGAAATGAAGGTGAAGGTTTTAGTAGTAATTGTTATTGTTGGTTGTGATGGTTATGACATTTGGCGGTTATGGTAAAGGTGGTGGTGGTGGTGGTGGTGGTGGTGGTGGTGGTTGTGGTGAGCAGGAGAAATAGAGAGTTATGGTAGGAGAGTGGTAGAATATATTTACAAAATAGAGCCAAACAAAATGGAGCTCAGATGCCAGCACACACTCACCAGCTTCTTGAAACAATCCTCAAAAAAGGCGGTCATGGAGCGATATAGATGCCGCTTTACGCCGGACAAACTATGCCCCTCATCGGGATAGATTTGCTGCTTATATAGCACACCCTTGCTGGTCAGCGCACGTGCAAGTACCATAGATTGCTGGACATGCACATTGTCATCCGCGGTGCCATGCACCAGCAGGAATTGACGCTCGCGCAAATTGTCCACATACTTTGACAGATCGCTCTCCTCGTAGCCCTTGTAGTTGTCGGTTACGTTCGGAAAACTCAGATAACGTTCCGCATAGGTGGAGTCTAAGATGCATGGAGAGCACAAAAGTTGTCAATATATATTCAATATCTAGTTCAACAATAATGATAAGTTAAGGGGTTTATGTTTACCATAAAGCTTCCAATTGGTCACCGGCGAGACACTGATGCCGCACTGGAAGATTGACTGCTGTCCGGCCAGGGCGAGGGCGGCTGTATAGCCGCCATAGCTCCAGCCCCAGACACCCATGCGGCGCGCATCGATAAAGTGTAGATTGTCACGCAAATATTCGCTAACCTCCAGCTGATCGGATACCTCAACGCTGCCCAGACGCTTGTAAACCTCGTGCAGCAGCTGATAGCCCTGGCCGGCGGAGCCACGGCCATCGATCTCGATGACTATGTAATCCTTGCTGCCGGATAAATAGGTGTTCCAATCGATGTGCCAGCGATCTGTGACCAGTTGAGAGCCCGGACCGGAGTATACGTGCAATATGGTGGGATAACGCGTTATCTCATCCTCGCGCAGTACGGGCGGCAGATAGAGACGCACCTGGGCATGATAGCCGCCGGAGATCATAACTGGAAAGGTTTTTACCTGCGGCAGCGCCACTTTGGCCATCTTTTCCTTGAGTCGCGTGTTGTTCTGCACGGTGACGAGCAGCTCCAGAAACTGTGACTTCGGCTCGCCAGCTACCTTAGCAGCAGCTGCAGCTTCTGCTGCGAGCTGCTCCTGCGGTAGGCTTTGCTTTTTGGCCTTGGGTCCAGTGGGCAACTTCAGGCCATATATTATAGAATTGGGCACCACTGGACCCAGACATTCCACTAGAACATAACGCGCTCGCAGGGACAGCGGAAACTGTGCCTCATGGTACAGGCAATCACTGGGTGGTGGCGCTCCATGTCCACGCGCCTGTCGCTGCTGCTCTACGGGCATGGCCGGTGGCGGCGGCAGCGCCTCCGCCTCCTCGGAGTCCTCCCAGTCATCGTCCCAGGCGGTCACCAGCTTTGGCGGCGATTTGGTTTGACCCTCGTCATAGCCATCGCTGCCGTGCATAAGCGCCGGACATGTCAGACAGTCGGGCGCCTGCAAAGCCTGTCCCTGTCGAGCGGGCAGCGCCGAGACGCGATACAAATGCTGCTGCGAGGGCAGGCGCTCCGGCGTGCCCAGAAAATAGCTATAGATACATATTGGGAATACGGTTAGAGCATCTAAAGAAATTTCATTTACCATTAAAGTTAAGCAGTTTTTTACCAAGAAAGCAAACTTGAACTTTAAACCGAATTGATTGCCAAAAAAAAAAAAATGTTTTAAATCAAACGGAAACCGAAATTTGAATGTGGGAAACAAGCTCTCTCAACGAACCCTAAAAAAACACGGAGGGTTCAATTTTGTTGTAATTGCAGCTTGTTTCTAATTGCAATTCATGTTCTAGTTTTTCGCTTGAATTTAATAGCTGTCGCTTTTATGTAACCATTCACGTTTCGGACATTTAAGTGATTTTATGTGTGGTACTTAAATTTACTGCTGGGCAACATTTATCGCAATTTGAGATTCAGTTTTGAGTTGAATTGTGGAATTGCGGCTTCCGCTGGCTACTTACATCCAATTATCGAGCTGATCCCAGTGCAGGAGTCGATTCACCTCGTAGGGTCCGTGTGTGAGGGGCAGCACGCGATTATTGTCAATGTCCACGTGCACGATATGCCGGAAATAGCCTGTCGGTTATGGGCGGGTAAGGGTACAGTATTTTGTATTTGGTTGCGTATTGAGCTCGAAACAAAAGCCGGATTGACATATGGCTCACTTACCAAACGAGCCGTCTCGCAGCGGCGATATGGCCACATAGTGGCTGGCATTGGCCGCAAACAATGGCACCGAGACAGTGTCCACCCAGCCGCGTCCGTCGCCGCTCACACGATGCGTCTGCCGGTGGATGCACAGGACATGAGCACATACTCACTTAATTAGGTAGATGCAACAACATACCTCGATGCAGACAAACGAGGGACTCCTGCAGACACTGACCACGGATATGTTCTGCGGTCGATTTAGCCACACCACAGCGATCTCCTTGGCACTCACCCAACTGGCGCTGCTAAAGTAATGATCCCTGCAGAGAACGAAGAGACAGCGATAAAGATAGAGTTCAGTATTCGAATCATTCTTGCTTTTCATTTCAGTACGCACTCGTTTTCTATAATTTTCGGCGGTTTCAAGTCTATGATGTGTATCTTCTCAGGAACCGCCAGGTCGGCCACCCGCAAGGTGACTGTCGGATTCTGCGTGCCCGGCTTAGGATATCTACAATACAAGTATAATGGGGAGAGAGAGAGAGAGAGGGGGAGAGAGAGAGAAAGAAAGAGAGAGAGGTCAGTCAATCAGCCATAGATATATCGACAGATATTCCTTAATTTTTATGTGCGGAAAAAAAGTTTGGCACATAAAACAGTTTTCCACAAATAAAATCAAGTTTCTTACGTAAAATCCTTGCTCCTACGCATAAAATACTCGAATTACATACAAATAAATTTATAATTTAAAACGAAGCATAATTTATTTGGGTATTATTAAGTTAGTTGAACTTTTCACAACGATTATAATCGGGTTTCGGCTCGAAACAGTTCAATTTAAAATGGATTTGCACACACGGCAAAAGTTGAAAGTTTCTATTCTTGGCACATTCAATTACCAGCGATGGCATCTACGAACTTATGCACAAACATTTACATAACTAATTCCCAAATGATGACATTACACTTAACGCAAACAGGTTAGACGGCAGTTTTGTCAGCTCCGTAAGCCCGGGGGCAACAGTTGTGCAAACCTTTTGTGCATTTGGCAATTTATCAAATCGAAAATGACAGCAGCTCAGTCGTATGTATTAAAAGACTATCGTGGCCAGGAGCTGGCTTCACTTGACTGCAAAGGTATTTTAATTTCGAACAAACACTAAAACGTTGAAGTCGGCTGCCAACGACTGTGCACTACTCTGTTCGAATAATTTTTTATAGTTAGACTAGAGTCTCTTTGTCTATGGTATTCTCGACTCCAATATTGTGATCCAGACGTATAGGACTTCATCTGCCTGCAATTTACCTTTGGTAGAACCAATACACTCTTTTGCACTCTGTTAACAGAGTGTCAGCATGTCGTTACACCCACACACAGACAGAGACTTGACACTTTCCTGCACACCTGGGCACATTTGGGCCATCGTGAAAAGGATTCCCAAAAAGCCATGTGCACTCGTCGACAACTTCATGAATTTTAAGCATTCTATACCCGAGCACTATTTAGGGCTAATGACAGTCACGAGCACATCATTAACACCTAATCGAAAAGTAATATAGCCTGGGACTGGCACAACTTACCGTAAGGATCTAATTTCCGGATACAAGTTGGCATGCGGATTACTGCCACCAGCTGAGCCACCGCCAGAGCTAGTGCCACCACCGACACCACCATTGCCATGAGTTGTGCCGCTTGTCGCAGCACCGCCTGCGGCGCCAGTTGAGGTGGTGCCATACCAAGCAAAATGCTGCTCCTGGACGTGTGTATCGTTGAAGCTGGCATAGAGCAGCAGTTGCCCGTCGTCCGATAGCCAAATTGCATTATTAGTATGCAGAATTTCCTCTATAAAAGAGAGACACCATATGAATTATAAATAACTGGAATTGCACATAGAAAAAATAAAATTGAAATCTAAGGATAAAAGTCTACCATCAATCGGACAACTACACTTAAGCTAGACTAAAGAGATAAGTATAAAAATAAAAAAATACTTATTGTTGCTTCTGGCTAGCCTTACTAACTGCTCCTTATGTATTTTTGAAACATTTAAATCACCTTTTATTGCACTTTAATTATGATGCACGATAAACTCACCTTCGTATAGCCAATCGGGTATGCCGTTATAGACAACGCCCGGCACCGCATCGTGTGTGATGCGATAAGCATGCGAGGCACGCACCTCCTGACGATAGTAAATATCGTAGTTGTGCACCCAGATTAAAGCGTTTCCGGCGCTTGTAAAGCGCGCAAAATGCAAATAGGGCCATTCGTCCTGTTGCGGATTGTGGCGCAGCTTGATGGCCTCGCTGAGAATGAGAGACACAGCACTTATGAGAATCGCAAAGAGAGGCGCTTCGTCAACTGTTGTTCGCTTACCTTGTGTGTATGTCAAATAGCGTGTACTGCGCCAAATACGAGTGTCGAAATAATTTGACAACGTTTTGGGCCAGCAGCAGGTAACGTTTATCCGCCGATATGCTAAATGTGAACGGCGCCAGAGTTTTCTGCGTATGAAATAATTTGAATTAGGTGGCAGCTCATTGAAATGCTAGCCATGAAAACGTAGTAAATGTCGATTTCAAATGCGCTCCAGTGTTATGGTAGCTGTTAAACAGCTGCCATAACAATGCCGCTTATTCAGAATGACAAACGCTGCGTATGCGTAATTTTAATTAAAATTTTAATTGTTTGCGCAGCGCGTGTTGTGCCTATGGATACAAATGGTGAAATTTCCCATTTAGATGTGCTGCCTACATTTGTTAATTATTCGCAGAAGTGCGTTAGATAATGCAGAAGTGCCTTTAATAAAGCTTTTGGGCATAAGATTTACGTAGAAATCGAGAGAATGGCTTGCATGAAAGCTCTCTAGGCAAATAACTAATTAAATTTCCTTAAACTGCAGCCAAGCTGAACTACACTCAGCGAAAGAATGTAGATTTCTTTGCTCAAACTTTGTTAAAATCCTTACTTATTTCAAGAGTTTAAGTAAGAGTTTTAGGTAATTTATTGCATGCAGATATGATAATTGTTTTTATTTACTTGCTCCTAGATTTTAAATTAAACGGAATGTATTTTAAACGGATCAGACAATAATTGAGAACCGAGTTTTTGCTGAGTGTAGGCTTGGCCTTAAATAGTATATATGGTAACTAAACTCTTGACTGAGTCATCCTGGTAGCAGCTCATTTGGTGGGCCACATTAATTATTTGTCAAGTGGCAACTGTTGACACAAGCGATGGCTTGTTGCATGTTGCAGTTGCCGAATGGCTTTTTTGAGGCACTTGTTGCTGCCTTTGGCTTGAAGGCATTCGAAATGCTTGCCTCTTGGCAGCTGTCAAAATTGTTGGCACTGAGCTAACCCGTCGCCCCTCTATACACTTGGCAGGCATCCATATACATTTGTTTGTTTTTCAATTTCAGAGCGCGCATTATTCATTAGAAAACGTTTCAACCGGAAGGATCCAACTACCTCCACCCCTTGACTATTCGCTGCCGCAATTCCCCTCATGTTTACCCAAGCATTGACATAAGAATCGTTTGGCTTTTATCGTTATGGGGTAGCGATAACTTGGCCCATTTGTTTTTGCCTACTTTGCTGCGTTCTGTTTGTACGTGTGTGTGTGTGCGTGTGTGTGTGTGCGTATCAGTTAACAGTGCCTGCCAACTGTTTGGCTGCCAAGTCAAGTGTGTTCACTTGAGATAGCAACCACGCCCACACCCACGCCCCACAGCATCCTATCGTAAATAACATGCTGCAAATATTTATTCAGCTCGGAGATAAGCAATAAGCATATACTGCATGGCCATACAGCAAAAGGGGCGGTATGAGAGGCGTAGCAGGAGGAAATGTACTTACAAATGTCACATTGGACATGAGGACGCGTTCCGTGCGATTGGCTGCATTCAGCAGGCAGATACGGCCCAAATGATCCTGATACAAAAACTCCTCGGCTGCAGCGATATGTGAAAACATAAAAGTCGGAAATTAAAAGACATTAAGATTTATTTTCTCAATGTCCAGTTTTGGTTGGGTCTTCTCAATGTCAGTTCAATTAACTGCCAGTCAGCCAACACTGCGGCTTAGTCTGTGCATTGAAATAGGTTGGCAGGGCTGTAGGAAAAATCTGTGTGTCACTTTAACTTTTTGTGTGTGTATGAGTTTTTAAAAAACGCTTAAGGAAAATAGAGGTGCTATTAAAATCCTTTTTGAGAGGCATAATCCTGTGGGGACCTCAACGAAAATCTTGGAAAACTTTGCCACTTAAGCTAAAGTTAAGCAATAAAGTGGGAGGGCTGCATTATTATATAAAATTCTATTATTATTATCATTGTTTTTTGTTCGACTTAAATTTTCACTCAAAAAAAAAATAAGACAGTCAATCAGCTATTTCAAATTTTCCAGTCGCTTAAGTTTCAACTACCAGTTAACTGCAGCTCAGCGCTTACTAGCGGTTTCTAGTTGCACACTAAAGAAATAAGACAGGCAATCAGGCTCTTTAATATATTCCCATCGATAAAGATTTAACTACCAGTTAAGAACATCCTTGCAGCTCAGCGCTGACTAGAGGCTGAGACTAACTGAGAGAAAACTGAACTGGACTGAACTGAACTTGAGAAAATGCTAGTTAAAAGTGTGTTACCGTTAGCGTTAACGTTTCAGGTAGCTGTCAACTCACCGTCGATCCAACTGCCATTGGCACGCTGCGGCACGTAGAGGCCGTCGACGATGTCCTGTAGCTTGATGCGCTGTCCCTTGACGCGCGGTCCCTCATCGGGTGGCGTGAGCAGCACCTTTTTTGATAAATGCAGAAATTATATATGTTGTTTTCTATATATATATATGTATATATATACAGTACAAATTGTACCAAAAGCACCACAACAAGAACGACAATAACATCAACATCAACACATAAATGGAGAAAATGGAGAAAAAAAATGGAGAGATTTCAAAAGGGGCGCAGGGGGGTGGCACAAATATCACGCAGCAAGGCACAAAAGGAAAAAATAAATAAACAAAGAAGAAGACAAAAATGAGCGCAACGTATTTACACGCATAACATTTGAGTTTGTGGTTTGTTCTACCCTGTTCACAAAGTGCAATAGAATATGTTAGAAATATTCAAATGCATTAGGGAATAATGTTTGTTGGGAACATAACTAGAGTATAATTTAGGATTAATTTAATTCCCAAGGATTTAATCAACGAACTTTCCCCAACAATTGATGGGGTCTTTTGCACTAAGTAACAGTTTGAAAGTCACACACTTGTTACAGTTTTAGTGTTAAATCTCCAAAAAATGATTCATTTTAATATTTTTTTACGGTTATTACATTGTGAACAGAGTATAGCCAAGTCGGTGAGAACCGACCACAACATTTTATCCTGTTTTTCATTTGCAGATTGTGACCACAAATAAAAATACAGTTGCAATGGATTATTGTGAATATTGCACAGTAACGGTACTTTGAATGTGAGCACAGCTATAGTGTTTGCACAGCTGTGTGTGTGTGTTTGGGTGTGTGTGTGTTTGGGTGTGTGTGTGTGTGTGGTGTATTAGGGGAAATTGCATTCGTATTGATTTAATTTGAGAAATGGTTCATTTACACAAGAGCCACATGAAGATAAATTACTTGAGCAGGATTTTAATTAATTTATTCACATTGGATTGGACCATAATCGATTTTCAATCAAGGATTTTACCATTTACCAAAAAATAAACACGAAAAAAAATATTTACCATGCGGTTTAGACTTACCACCGATGTTACAATCAAGGCCAGCACAATAATGATCACCAGCAGTGCGATGAGAATGCCGCGCCAATTGCGTTGATTTGGGTTGCTGGAAACCAACTGCGAGTAGGAAAAATAGTAGTTGGGAAAATGTGGAAAAATGAAAACATTAGCTAAATTAGTTAAGAAAAGGAAACAAGATTAAAATATCTGAAGATTAAATATCCTTGTCAAACATTTAATCGATTTTGCAGTATATTAATTATACTTGGCTCAGAAACTTTGTAATTTAGTATTCTAATGATAGTTAGAGTTTTCTTATATGCTAGAAGCTTTACGAGTTTCGTAATTTCCAATGTTGGCTAAAATATCTAGGTAACTGAAAAACAAGTCAAAAAAAGGCGAAATCGATTTGGCTGTCAAGAATAATTATACCTTATAGGCTCGCAAATAGCTGCTCTAATGCGTTAGACATTTTCCGACATAATTATAATATCCATTGCACGGCTCTAAAAAGCTAGACTATAGAGGCCACGTGCGGCACATTAGAGCCCAAATAAATATTTGCGGCCATAAATAATAAGCAGACCGCAATAATTGACTAAACGATGCCGCCGTCAAAAAGGAATGCAATTTAAGTCAACTACTAGTCGAAGCAATCATCAACTTTTGATTCAGTGAGCCTTAAGCATTCTGCAGGATATTCAACATGAGGCCGCAAGGCTGTTGAACCTGTTCGCAAAATAACTGCCTGACTAATTTATATGGCCGGAAAACTAACTAGACATACACACACTCTTGCATGCGTATACACTGAGAGAAATAGCTGAGAAATGTTTACGTGTAAAAAATTGGTAATTTAGTGAATTTTATTTAAGCCAAAGTATACATTGAGATGATTTCTACGCTTATTCAAGATCAAAATTGAATATTAAGATAGCCAAACAGCATTTCTGCAGAGACTTAGATCGTCCCTTTTTTTTCTCGAAGTGTAGCATTGTTTATATAGACCTCAGCAATTATGCTTGTATGCATACAAATTAAGAGGCAGCCAATTCTATACAATAGCTAATGCATATTTAATGTAGTCGACAACAACTAAAACAAATTTCAACAACCTTTTATTTATTCTATTTTTTTTTTTCTGTTTTTTGCTGAACAACAAATGAGGCAACAACTTGAACAACTTCAGAAACTGTGGCAACACTGACACGCAGCTCGTACGCGCTGACACTGACTTTTACCCATTCCAGCCACATTATTGGTTAGCACAATCACTGAGTCAGTTAGTCATTAAGTCAGTTGGTTAGTCAATCATGTCAGCCATAAACACATACAGGCCTAAATACATATACTGAATTGGCATTTCTGTATAATTAATTAATTAAGCTGAACCTGAGCTGTCGCCTAACTGATAATGCATAAAAATATAATCATGTATTAATTGTCAGCTTCTTTCAAATCATGTGTGTAATTGGGGCAAAAGTTATCGTTAATATGAAACAGGCATGCATTAGAAAACTATTTGCACCTTATTAACTTAGTGAAGCTATTAAGGAAATATAAATAAGTACCTCAAGCACCGAGATGTTTTCATTGAGGGTACGGTTTCTCGCTTAAAACAACAAGTATAGCAGAAAATAAGTATACTTGATATTATTAGCCGAATAGAGTTTTGTCTTTATTAAAGACAAAACTATTAATTTGTAAAAAAAAAAAATAAAATGAAAGAATATGTAGTTGAACTCAAGTGCTGTACAACAAATTTTCCGCCTACTTTCCGACCTTGGGAGGGAATTTCATATACAAACTTCTACATATTTTCCGACCTTGGAAGCGAATTCCGTGTGCACGAATTTTTAACGTACAACTTTATGGGAAAAGCATAAGAAACGGGAACTTTAGACTTAACAAGATGTGTTCTTATTTTATATATTAATCTGAATTCTCGACACGAAGCGATAGTTGATCAATCGGACAGTTTTTAAATGCTATCCGATACACAATTCAGAAATCATAAATGTTTGTAACCATAGCAATTAGAGCAGTTGCATGCCACGTACCGCGGGCTCCAATTAATAACCAGCTCAGGTATGCACAGATATGTTCATGTATATTTATGAGTACACACACTCACACACAGCCTTACACACACACACAAGACCACACACTCTGAAGCTGGCTACAATTTATGGCAGCCTGAAGCGCAGAATTTTCAACCGAATGCTGAAAAAAATACTGAGAGCAAAACATAAACTAAACTAAACGCGTATCAAATAACAATTGTGGCCACAAGTTTGGCTGTCTTTTTGTGTTTTGTTTTTTTGTTTTTACCCGATAATAACCGAGGGCGTGGATACTTTGTATAATTGGATTGAATTTATGATGCTTGGCGTTTTGGCCAGTCGCGAGCTTAAGGAATTCCGCGAATGCAGAAGAAAGCTCTCAACTTGATTGCAGTCAAACTCCGCGAGTAAATATGTAAATATTACGAGCATAAATTAAATTTAAGCACTCAACTTGATGAGTTGCCGTTAACGCTAAGAAGAATTAAAAATAATTTCCGTCATCAATTTTGCCCGCAGCTCAAACAGCCCCAAGTGCTACTTATGCACTTGAAATGCTTGTGCGGCAGCCCACAAGGCGTATGCGTGCTATTTGTTTCAGTGAATTTTTAATGATAAGCAATTAAGCATAGCCAAAGGTCCTCCTTGGCAGCAGACTGCTCGTCAAGCTGCTGTCAAAAAACAAAAACTAAGTCAATATTAAAGCTATTAAATCAATTTCGCAAAGTGAACTCAACTGTGACATCAATTTAACAATAGGATTTCATGCAAAGAACAGCCGAATTCAGATAAACAATACGAATACTTGATTTCAGATTGAAAACAGAACGCAAATAGGTCTTCATTTATACAACTATTAGTTGGATTGATTGAATGATTGATTGATTGGTCGATCAATTAATTGATTGAATGAAGATTATAGCTCAAACTTTTAGAGATTGAAATTTGAATGTTTTACACAAGTTACGTAAATACGTGAAAAAAAAATCCACCCATTTTGGTGAAAATGAAAGTTCAACTACAAAGTGATGTCTAGACTTTAAAGAGAAACATGTAGCTGTGCATAGCCGGATAACAATAGGTAGCATAAGGAAAACGCCATAGAAGTTTCTTGAAACGTTTACTTGAAAATAATGTGCAGCATGGGAATTGCACTTTTTTGATTGTGCCTGAAAGCCAAAAACGAATTCGTAAAAATTATTTCATGTTCATTTGAACTTGTGAATAAAACTAAGCCAAGCGTACATTTTGTTTATGTTGATTAAATTTCTTGTTACCTGAACGGCAAACAACGGCTGCAGCTAAATGAAGTTCAACTGAAAGTTCAAATAAGCTACGATTCGCCCGCTTTTCAACAGGAAAACTAGACTAAAAGCGTATATATATATAATACCCGTAAAGTAGTCTGGCCGAGGGGCAGTAACAGATATAGCAACGAGTGCTCGTAGCAACCAGCAACTAGTCGCATTACAGCTCCTCCCAGTTGCCAAGTCTAAGCGCATTAGCTGCTTTTGCGGTTAAGCTGAGCGCGTTGCCAACTTTTGCGATTTGTTGTTGTTGTTGCACCGTTTGCCATTGCCAGAGTGTAAAAAGTTCAAAGTTGCCAGAGTGCCGCCAGTTATTTGCATAAGTTGCCAGAGTTATTAAGCTGTGAGCGAAAAAATTTACACTGCATATAGTTAAGCGCATTAAAAATAGACACCATTTGCGCGCTGCCAAAGCGAGAGAGAAAATCGCCCAAAGCATATTAAATGACGCTTTTTCATTTAGTCCGTGAGATCAAAGTGGAATTAACTCAGGTGCTCAACGCATTTGACAGTCGATGGAGCAGATTTCCCGAGTTGACACTTGCATCCAGTATATATACGTATATATATTTTTGTTGGAGCAAGCTTTTTTAACCAGCTTAAGCGTATATACGATAGTCTTTTGGAATTAGTTAGGCGTGTGCTGAAATATGTCTTTTATACACTTGCAATAGAGCATTAAAGGTTTGCATAACAGAAAGTTGTTTTTTATATTTTTAGCTCAGCAATTAAAAAGTTTATCAGCGCCTGTAAAGAAATCAAATTTTCGTCAAATTGAAATTTATCAAATTTCTATAGAAACAATAATTTACAAATATATAAATATATGTCAGCAAGGATATTTAATCTATAATACTTAACAAAAAGACCGTGTACTTTTAGTTGTTTTATAACGAAAGCAATTCAACTCATGCCGTTTCCATTTATTGATGAAACTATCAAATCTGTTGTCCTTCACATTTCTTTTTTTTTCATTTTACTTTTTTTTTCTGGTCTATGCACCTTTCACATTTAAGAGTTGCCAACGTCGGCGGCAGCAGCTCTTGTAAATGCTGAAAGCTTCCAACAATATTGCATTTTGCAACTGGGCGACATTACAAGCCAATCTTTATGGCTTGCTGCCTTCCTGCCAAACATGAAATCCATAAACAGCCCCACAGGGCACGATTGCAAAGTATACGCAGCCACATCCTTGCGCAGTATTGCCATTGCTCGTTGGCTAGGTGCAATTGAATGGGTGCGAGGGGGAATGGCGGTTGAGGGTCGCATTAGGCAACTCTGTCAACGTTGTCGTCTGTGTCTGGCTTTCCGGAACGCTAGTACCATTGTCTGTGCCCGGTCTCTGATCTGGCCTGCCCTCAACGGTTGCCGTTGTCAACAACAGTTTAGCTCAAGGCCATAAAGGCGTACCGTTTCGCTATAACTGCCACGCACATCTTTAATCTGTCCCAGTGTGTGTGTGTGTGTGTGTGTACACCTGTGTGTGTTTCTAGCCTTCTGTGTTTGCGTCCATGTCAACACATACTCAAGCTTCCATTACACAGCCATGATTGCTTTTTTCTCTCTTCCAGCAGGTGTCGCGACTGTCAACGGACGTTAAGTAACACGAATTTGTCAAAAACAAAAGACATATATAATATGGCAACATTGATAGTTCAAATTAAATGTGACACCTAACAGTAAGTGTGTCATAAATACATTTGACATGAAAAATTTTATAAATTTCGGGGTAATCAATCATTCAACAAGAATGTTTTTTACTTCGAAATTTATATAATTTTTCATTGACCAATTGATCAATGCACAGCACAAATCATGAGAGTTATGTATCTTAATTTCTTACACGATTTGTTTTTTGTGGTCTTAGAAAATTTCATCCTCAAATATGGAAAATGTTTGAAAATCATTTGTTTTTTAAAATCGTTTTGGTTTTCATTGCGCTTTCCTTTCGCTGATAATGAAAATTAAAGCTTATAAAGATACGAATTTTTTCGCCTAATGAAAACGAGTTGTGGTTTAATGGAAATTAACCCGGGCAAAGCCGGTCAATAACTGGTAATTATATGCAAAACTGTTAATCAATTGCCTACAGTCAGTTTAATTTAACTGTTATTTGTAGCCCGGCAACTGTTAGCGGTCATTGGGTTGAAATAATTAATGAACACAATCGATTATGGCAACACTGTCCGCATTAAATGTGACGCCTCGGGGTATGCAACACTTTCCGCCGTGGGAATACAGTGGGCCATTGCTAATTGATTTCCGTCTGAATGCCTAATACTCATTCCGAGTGGCTGTTTATCTTTGCCGACTCGTTTTACACTCAACTTTAAAAATTGTCTGCTATAATTCCAGTTGTTTCCACCCTAACCGCTGTGCCCCATACACTTTGCTTTTGTATGCAAATCGCACACACGCAACGCTTTGATAATTCAATTTTGCAATTGTTGTCAGCGTCTGTCAGCGCTTTGCATTTGTATTACATGCGAAATTTATTTCAATTATCATCGCCTCCGGCCGCACAGAAACGCCCCTGGCCGCTTGACGCAAAGTGTGCAGCGATGCGTGAGAGTGGCAGCTGAACTTGACCAACCCATCAGCATTAGCAGCAGCATCAGCATCAGCATCAGCATTAGAGACGACGATGATGCTGATGAGAGCTCAGCTTGCTGTACCCTGTCAGTTGTTGAGTCAACTTTGTGGGCAAAGTGATGCACTTAGCCAAGTTGAAATCAGAATGTTGAAGTGCTGCCGTAAGAGCACAAAGAGTTTTTGCTCTACAAGGTGCTTCCACTTATTAACTGTACTCAGCTCGCTTTGCTGAGCTATAAACTTGTGAAATTTATAAATTTAATACGAACACAAAGACTGCTATTTAAACCATTTTGTCAATTAATTTGATATCAATTTAACTTGCTTTTTAAATATTTATTTAATTGCCACTCTTTCAACTTTATTGCTGTCTTTCTTTTGACTTTACTTATGACTAGACTAAGAACTTGATTAGCTCAGTTGAGTTGAACTCGATCCGCACCTAGTACAAAATATATTAAATATAAACTTTCTGCTTTTTGTTTAAAATATTTAATTAAAAATAAGGTTTTCCATTCTTTTCAACTAAAAGATTGTTTGCTATGTGTAAACTAAATTTTAAATTAAAAAATGTTTGTTGGCTTTGTTAAACTTTTGTCAATAAAACCGAATGAAATACAAATTTCCGTAATTTGAGTAGCAGCTTTAACGTTCGTTTAGCATAATTTTTTTTTTTTTTGAGAGTTATTTGCAGAATATTTAAAACAGCTTGATTATACTTTTGCCTCGTTCATTTCATTTTAGCGCTAATTCCAGGCTTGTGCTAAGCTAAGGATATATACTAAAGAGATTTGTGTGCACACACACACATGTATTATGCATGTATTATTCAGCCCAAAAGTCTTTTATTAATGCATAATAAATGGCATGCATAAACCAGTTCGCACACTACGAAAAAAGACTGTTGTAGACTATCGTTTATGTCGGGGATTTGAACTCTAAACTTTGGAATATATAGAATTTAGTTATATTAAAAATTAATTAATATTCCTACTCCAAATATGACTAATACTATTGCCAACTAAATGCTATTCAGATGAGAATTTCTTATGTTTTTAATATGAAGTCCATGAGTCTACGTTATTTCGCTGAGTGTACACCCAAAATACCGTCAAATCCGGCGACTAAAAGGCACACGCACACGTGTTTAAATATTTGTTTTAAAATTAATTATGCCTAATGATATTTATGCATAAAACATATTTATTTGTCATCGTGTGTTTGATGTTGTTGTTGTTGCTGCTGCTTCTGCTACTGCTGCTGCCCGCTTTTGGGGCAGCAGCAACAACAACAACAACAGCAGAATTAAAATTACCTCATCATCGTAATTATCCTGCTCAGGCATGACTCGGCTTAAAGCAGCTAATGCGTGGAGCACAGGATGTAAATTTTCTTCTACTTGTTTTCACACAATACGAACACAGCTGGTGCTGCTGCTCCGTGCGGCAAGTGGGCGTTGGCGTTGCCTTGGGCGTGTCCTCTGAGCTGATAAATTAAAGATGCCGCCGTCTTGTGCCGCCTTTCTCGGTTGCTCCTCTGATCGACTTTTAAGATTGCTAATCGAATATATCAATTTCCCGACAACAATTTGCAAGTGCTCTTAATTTGTCGCCTCTGTCTTGGTATGGAGTACTTCTGCTCCTTCTGCTGCTTTGGCTGCTGCTGCTGGGTTTCTGGAGCACATCAGCTTGCCGACATCCTGCAGAGCTTTGAGTGGCACAAGGTACGACTGTTCGCTGCCCGAGCTAGATTCATGCTATTCATTGACAATGGGAGGGACCGTGGTGGCCCACTTTTTGTGCCCTTGACTAATGCCAGGCAGCAGCTGCTTCTGCTGCCGTCCTTCCTTGCTGGCAAGTAATTATGAATGCTTTGTCCTGGTGGCTGACTTAGGAACTTGTCGTTTGACCCTCGCTAATGCGCTTTTGCTGTTGCTGTTGTCCTCTAATGAGCCCCGCCAGTTGACTTTCAGCTGGAAAGTCTACCAAAAAGCTTGACACTAATGATGCAGCATACTTTTAGGTCGAGCGCTAAATTGAAAGAGAATGGAAAACACATTTTAAACACAGCATCAAAGCCAACCAGAGCACAGTTTGCCATGTGTTTGTTGTTGTTGTTGTTGTTGGTGTTGCAGTTTTCCAGCGTGTTGTTAGTGCCAATTTTTCGTGAGTGCGTGTGTGTGTTTTGTGTGTGTGTGTGCCACACATTTGCAGCTGTTGTTGTTGTTGTTGTTGCTGTTGTTTTTCTTGTAGTGCATATGTTAGTGCTTATATAACATGCCTCGTATTACATATGTGTGCGTGTGTATATGTGTGTGTGTGCGTGTCCTTTACTTGTGTATGTAGGTTAAGTTGTCTACACAGTAAAATATAATGTTGACTTGAATATCAATCCCTTAAGTTTTTTAATTAAAACTTTCCTATTTAAATGTCAAACAGATGCGGATGGATGAACCCTAGTTCAAATCCAACATCACTTCATTGTCATTGTTTTTTATATTTAATCAATATTTGTTTTCTTTTTGTTAGTTTTTTATTGCCAAATACGTTTTTCGTCTCAGATTAAATGTCCAATCATCAGCATGATTATTTTTATTTAAGCGACAATGTTTTTTTACTGTGTAGTTTTTATTAAAATTTGCATAAGCAAAGGACAACGCCAAAATGTAGCTAATGCTTCTTTTCTAATTACGTGTTTGTTGTCTGCTCTTGTTCTTCTACTTGTTTTTATAGTTGTTATGGCCTTAAAAACTAAATGTATTAAGTATGCAAAAGTGTTGCATGCAATACGGGGCGTGGCAGGGCGTTGCGGTGCGACATTTTACAACTGGCGCTTTTATTATATGCAAATTGGTTGATCAGGTTTGTGTGTGCAATTGTGTGTGTGTGTGTGTGTGTGTGTGTGTGTGTGTAGCTGCAGTAGTGTAGTGTTAATAGTATTACATTTTCAATTTAAGTTATGGAAAGTTTTTGCATGGTCGCCTAAGCAGCATATTATGCAAAATAAACGTGCAGTGAATGCAAAAAACGTTCATAGAGTTAGGGGAATGTAAGAGAGAAATGAAAGAGAGAGAGAGAGAGAGAGAGAGAGAGAGAGAGATTTTGGACGAGAGAGAGTGGGGGTACAAAACTAGTACTGAGAGAAAGATAATAAAACACTAAAGTAAACAAATTTATATTTAAGGCATATTTTTTAAGATTCTAAATAATTTCAGAGTTAAGAATAAACGTCAAGGAGACTTAAGAAATATGCTAAATGCATAATAGAATAAAAATTATAATAATAAAAAATTAGTTAATTTTGAGTGCTGAAGAATAAATACTCTTGCTAACAGATCGCAAATTCGCAGCATAGGTTTGTATACCTTCTGAAAAGAGATTCGAACCCGGCTGTTTCTTTTTTGTTTGAATACGATTAACAACAAATACATATTTAAGCTTTTACTGACAGTTGCCTTGAGTGCAATGAGTACAATAGACTGTTTAGCTGATGACATTCCAGAGCATTTTATGCACGACCTATGACTACTCCAGTTGCCTCGCTTTGTTGCCCAATATGCTTGAGTCTATACATAAAGGATGCTTTATGTCTAGGGATTCTTATAGTCATCTCTCTGGCACACAATGCTTTACTGTTCGCTAAGTCACGTTAGGCAGCATTCACTGTGCGCAATGCGTAACAACAATATGACAATGCAAAACTTTTGCCTTTATTCTCTTGCTGTTGGGCAAGCGTGGCATTTACTTTCTGACTTTTACAGAATCGTGGGATAGCAGAAACCTTCATGCAGCTATAAATTAAAATACAAAAAAAAAAAAAAAATACCAGTTTTTCATAATGTAGCACCCCCGCAAAACAATGGAAATTTTTGATATAACAACGGCAACAAGAACATAAATTTCATTAATTTTCGCGAAGCCAAATTGTTGCTACAAGTTCTTGTTGTTTTATGTGGGTTTTTGCTAGGTCAGCGAAGCGCTTCGATGTTTTTGTTGTTTGCATAAAAATGATTATCATTTTTTTAAGCCAATGCTACATTGAAAAGCTTCCTGGTCAGCGACGAAAACAACAAAAACAAAAGTTGAACAAAATGAAATGCATTGCATATTTGTTGATACAAGAACTCGCCGACAAACTAGCTCTTGACCATATAAAACAAAAGCCATGGCAGCAACAGTTCTGGGCCACGCACACAACCTACTCGGAATGCTGCGAATAAAAGCGTAGCAAAAATTCCAGCCAAATATTTCGCTGCGCTGAACGCAAGGACTCTTAAGCAGGAATGCTGCAACTCGTTAATTTTTAAAATCCGCACATTTATTAATTCATATGGGTTTCGTTTTTTAACACCCATTTTGAACATGTAAAGTTTTTCGTCGGCTTACGGCTCGAACAAATGCCTTGGCTTTGCATATTCACGAGCCCAGACTTTGGCTCGCACCTGGAATTGTCACATTTTTTTTCTGTTAAATTTCAAAAAAATTCTATTCAAATTAGGGAAGGCTTTTATACTTTACTAGAAATATTTCTCTTTCGTTAAGCCTGAATTTAATAAAAAATAACCAATTTTTCTGATTAAATTAAGGGTTTGAACCAGCGCCTTTACTAAAAAGTGGCTTTGCTTATAAACTTGGTACTTCATTCAGAGAAAAGTTTACAGCCTAGCTTTGTATCTAGCCTGGTTACACTAAAAGTTGTCATAAGATATTATACCGTTAGAGCATTCAAATGCCAACATTTGGCAGCAAAACTTTGGCGCTCTTGTTTTGCTAAAATGTATAAATAAAAATAAATAAAAACAAGAACTTTTGATAGCAGCATTGTGTATACTAAACAAAACATTTTGTGCAAAGTATGCGCTAGTGTTTTGTTATCAACATGTTGACATTCGTTCGAGTTGTGTGTGGCACACGCTCACACTTCCCGCAACCCCTTTGCCCCCCCTTTTTCTTTCTCTCTCGCTCGCTCTCTGTGGCTGACTTCCGGGCGTAATGCAGCCGTGCGTAAGCTGCTTCCGCTTGGAAGACGGAGCCTCTCGAGCGCTACGCATATATCATTGTCAAATGTTTTCATATCGTTTCATGGCATTTTGCAGAATTTTAAATTTATTGCTTCAATGAAGCAGCAAAGCATATGAATTGTGAATTGTTTGTAACTAACACACACACACACTCACACAACAACATCTACATATGTAAGAGTCCAAAATGCAGGGCCTCTTAAAATACGTGTATTTGTTCAGCTGGACACACACACACATGCACACATCAAGTGCAAAAATCAATTGCAGCCACTGGCCACAAAACGTGTTGCAGCCAGCAATTTGCCAGGACACTTTTGTGGCTGCTGCCTCAGCCGCAGTCGCCGCCGCTGCTGGCGTCGCTACGTGCCACTTATGTCGCTGTGGACTTTTAGTGGCAAGCAGTCAGCCATGTTGCACGTAAGCCGTAAACGTTTTTAGTGGATTTGTGCGGCGTGGCTGGGTTACGACAGCCATAATGTTTCATTAGCAGCCGCCCAACCTGCTCTCCTTGTCCAGCGTCTGAGTTGGCTCAAGCAGCTGCTGGGGCTGCCAATCAGCCCTAACTGAACTCAGCTGTGGGCATGACCCCCCTCCCCCAAGTTACAGCTCCTGTTGTGTGTCCAGTGTCCGAATGAATCAATCGATAGCTTGCTATTGGATTTCCAGCTAATTCAATAGAAATTGTCTTGAAGTAGCGCGTAACTAAGCTAAATGTGCAGACAGGGTGCGGCTCATTATGGAGCATTTTATTTTCTAATTAAACTCAATTCAAAGCAACATAATTCACATTTAATATACTTAATTGAGAGGCAGCCAGAACTAGAAGGAGCTCAAAATTAAGCGTAAAAAACGTTTCTTTCTGTTATCTTCACATCTTTTAATAACTTAAATGTTTCAAGTAATGGCATTAGAAAATGTTGTATCTATTACATTTTTTGAGAAAAGTAATACCAAGATAAGCTTATAAACAGAATTTTTTATTATACTGCATTGATTTAAGAAATATATAACCCTAATATCAATTGCAGTTTAGCCTAAATTTATATTTCAAATCAAATAAATAAATTTAGTCGAATGAAACTATTTTAATTCCTCCTTTGCTCACACATACACTTCCGATGTATCTTTTAATAAAAGAAAAAAATTTAATTAATAAGTCGTTTGAAATTCAAAAATACGTGTGATAAAATTTAAAACAACTTATTGCTTAACATTTGAGTACACAAACGACTTGAACTAAGCATAAAAATAAATTCAAAGCATTTCAATTATTAAGCAAACGCACTGATTGTTTATTGTCCTAAACTTTATTGAATTATTTGAGTTTTCTAATTACAAATTTCAAAAGAACTTCCTCGAATATGAACTTTTTTTTT